TGATACAGATCATTTTATTGATTTCCAGCAACAAGAGAATGCAGGGAGATCACATTCTCAGTGAGATCCAATTACCTAAGTCCTTACAAGAAAATGGTGAAAGTAAGACAGGATGGAGTACAAATCTGCTGAAGAAATTGACCTCCTTCACATGGTCAGCCAGGATGCAATTCTTACAGCAGAACAATTTTAGAAAAGAGGAAATGTATTATTATTATTATAAGTTGGTGTTACCTGTGTAAGGAGGAGTAATGGGAGGTTGCTGATAATTTATTTACAGTTTAAAACAAGAGGGGTTGCTCTGATGGTAAGCAACCTCCACTTCCAACCAAGACGTTGTGAGTTCGAGTCACCCCAAGAGCAAGGTGGGGAGTTCTTGAAAGGAAGGATGCCGAGGGCCTATTGGAAACAGCCTCTCTACCTTATGGTAGAGGTAAGGTCTGCGTACACACTACCCTTCCCAGACCCCACTAGTGGGATTATACTGGGTTGTTGTTGTTGTTTGTAACAACCTCACAGTTTTTGCAGTAGCGTTCTCTTTATTTGACTTTGATTGAGTACCCCAAAGATAAAGAGTTAGAGGACTCTGTGAAGTTGAAGCGTAAGAATTAAGCAAGCATGGGGCCAGTGGAAGTAGCTTGTAGCTTGGAAAAGTAGCCAGCCATGCCATTTTTGCTATAGAATGAAAGGACTATGAGATTATTTCCAGGCGATGAAAAAAGTTAAACAGAATTTTCAAAAAAAAAAATCACTTTTTCCTAGTATCATTTATCTTTTGGTCCTACTAGCTTGGAAATCGGTGTTAGAGAGGGTAGAAAGGAGGCTTGGAGATTAGCAAAAGAGATACTTGTCCAAAGGAGGAAAGGAAGTGTTGATTGAGAATACAGTAAGATTGGACACTCCCGCTAGTGTTACAGGAAAGTTGGAAAAAATTCAAAGGAATGTTTTATGGGATTCATCAAGCGGTGAGAGGAAGTTTCACTTGGTAAATCGGGAGATATCACGACACCAAAGTGTTAGGGTGGGCTTGGGATTAAAAATTTAAAGGTTTTTAACAAGGTTTGTTGGCAAAATGGTTATAGGAGATTTAAGGTTGAGGAGAATGCTTTTCGGAGAGAGGTGATTGCGGAGAAATATGGAATCTTGGAAGGGGGATGGGGACTAGAAATCTTATACTTCCTTATGGGTGCGGTCTATGGAGGAATACTATGAAGAGGTGAGAAAAGTTTGACGGGAATGTTTCTTCTATAGCGGATGATGGGAGAAGGGTAAGCTTTTGGGGACACAACTGGTGTGGAAGCAATACTTTGAAAATTACATTGAACGCACCAAGTTTCATGCCAAATGGAGATGCCAGTGCAACGGGCACAAAGGCTACAAGGTGGAGAAGTTTGTTGGGTTTGAGATCTAGGAGGAACTTGCAAGACTAGGAGGTCGTACAATTCCAAAGTTTGGTTAAATTGCTTCACGAATAACGTGCTACATGGGATAGCCGTGATGTATGAAGATGAGGGGCAGGGAATAAATGTATCTTTTCATTAAGAGAAACTTCTGGTACATAGATCTTTTGGAGGTCGGTCTTGAATTAATGAAATGATATTTGACTTAACAAAAGAAAAGATTGAGCGTTTCATAGACAGATGGGAGCCAGGATTTGAAACTTATAGGTTCGGGATTCTAGTCATTTTAAGTTACTCGGTTGTAAATTAATAATCTGTACATATTCAATAGATTTGTTAAGACAAATACAGGGTTTGGATCAAAGCTACTGGGTTCGACCGAACTCGTAACCGAAGAGCTAGCTCCCCCCTGTTTATAGCTTCACTTGCTCAAGAGTATGCAAGGTCCAATTCCCATCAGGAGCTTATCATTTCCTGAGCACCACATTGCTGTACATGCAACAGCAAAGAAAAACAAAGGAACTCTGCCCTATATTAAAATAGGTGACTCCATCTGCTCCAGGTTAAAGAGATTTCCAATTAAATAACACCTTCAACTGATTAAAAACATAAACTAGTTCCTGAGCTCCTTGGCCTTGCTTCCTTAACTATGTTAGAAGGCTTAATAATCCTACAAATTAGCAGTCCAAATTTGTTTTGTGCTAGGCTTAATGCTATCTCAATTGTTCAAAACGAGCTACGGGAATGATCCTACTAATTCATCTTCATCTTTTAGAACGATGTGCGACCATAGAACAGGATATAGGCTACGCCATTCTTTATTTATTGTAGTCGTCAGTTCATTCTTGACAAAACCAACCAGGAGTTTATAATCTAGAGTAACAGAAAAGAACCGTTACATGGCTGTACCAAATACGAATGCATTACCACTTGGCTATTCTCCATAGGCTATTTTTGGACAGCAGGAACGGGGAGAGGAGGAACAGAGTAAAAGGGCTTGAAAAATTTTACCCAACTTAAGTCAACTTCAAAACAAACGCAAGTTGCTAAAACTCTTTTTAAGAGCCAGATGTGTCCAGGAAAAAAGAGAGTTGCCTAGTCTGTTGAATCTGCCCGTGAACAGGGAACAGACCAATCTTCAACATAAAATTTCACTAAAACCCGATAAGTAATCTTTTCCCCTGATGATTCTATCTGGCTGTGGTCTGATATTGTATATGATGATACTCTAGATGTTTCAACCTCTTCATATTCAACCAGCCACTCTTTCTTCTTCCTTATTCATTTTATTTTTGGCTGCCCAATGGGATTTAAGAAGATGTTGTTGTTTTAATAGACCCCTCAAAGAGCACGCAAAGCTATCAGCCCCCTGAAACTTACAAGATAAAATCATGTTAGCTAGCCTAAAATTCGATAAGCTCGCCTTGGTACGTAAAACCAACCACAAATGAAACTAACTGAAATGGTTTTGGGAATTGTTTGCACATTGGGAATACAGAAGAACAAGCTGAAACTCAAAGGTATACTTCCCATGTTATAATAGCTCACAGCACAAAGCACACACAGCTTCATTAACAGCACACTGCACATCAATACACAGTGATATCCTCTATGTAGTTGAACCCCGGGAATGGGATAGAGTGAAAAAGGGGCAGAAGGTGCCTTGTTATGTTCAAAGCATGCCAATCCTATCATTAACTAATCTAAAAGAGAGGACCACAGGTCGAGCAGGAAGGTTTCGCAAGCAACTTACAGGTTCTCTAGTAATGTTAAGAAAGGCCAAGAGTAACACAAGGCCATATTTCTTTCTATTAAAAAGGTACAGTTATAGGAGAGATAGAGTATCTCCTTTTTCATTTACATTTTCAACATTGTTGGTTCAAGCGTGATATTCTATTTATACTTGGGATCTAATCTCAACAATCTCTCATGGCCTACCCTGGATCACATCGAAAGCAGTTTTTCCCAACAGCTGAGCACAGATATGTATCACCAACCAACCATCTTACTCAGATATGTATGCAAGCTGTACAAAAGCATTACCTAGTTCAACATAGAAAATATACACGATGTATCCACTAGTTCACATGTATATCTACTTAGAGAGAAGAGAGGAGGGGCAGTTCAAATAAAGAGAAAGCAATAACATAGAAGCTATTCACCTAGAAAAATGTATGAAATCCAGAACTTACTCGTGCTGCTCCTTTTTTGTGAGCATGATATGTTGGCCCATCTTTATACTCTCCATACCAATAATACATTTTTGTCCTCTGATCATATAGAATACCTCCCCCATGAGCTTGTATAGGATTTCCCTCAGTATCCAACCACATTCTTCCAGGGTAATAATAATAGGTATCATTTTCAGAACTCTTACGAGGATCTATAGCAGTTCTTTGACCAGGGAAAAAAACATTCCTTAGCTGGGAAGACTCATCAAGAAATTCTTCAATCAAGGTAGTTGGCCGCTTAGGCTTTCTTTTGGCAGCACGTGGGGATCGCTTCCTTGGTGGTGGAAGCTGTATATTTTCCTCCTCAACCTCTTCAAGCTCACGAATGTGTGGGTGCTGGTTTATATGGAAGTGTGTCCCCCCACGGCGTGCATCTTTTTGGCTAATAAAGGAGTATAGATTAAGTAAAAGAAGGCAACCAACTAGGCTCCATACAAGAACTGAAAATGAGCATCTGCGTCCTGCATTGCAACGTAAAGTGGTTGGTTTCCTGGATTTGTTCTTGAACCTCATTTTGTTCCTTTTTTTATCTTGAAGACAATGCTGCAGTAAAGAAAATCAAACTAATGGAGATCCAGAATTATAGCCACAACCACAAAAGAAAATGGATATGCAGAGCATAATAGAGATGATATGTACTTGTGCTTGCATGTATTGACACATATCTGTACATATACATCTCTCTCAATAAAGGTGAATATTTCGTAAATAGATGAAATTATATAACTAGTATGGACATGCATACAAAATAACTAAAAATCAAGTTTTCTGAACTCATAACTCTGTCAGAGTTGACTGCTGACAATATGATACATCCATAATCAATTGTTTGAACAGCATTCAATCTAGTGGATTTCTTGAGTACCAACAAAAGATACAAATAAATGGAACATTTTATCAGTGAGCACGCGACTTATTAATCGCTAGTTATAGAAAATTTTATTAGATTGTGAGAATTCGATTATTACATCGACTATAACCCGAAAGGATAAGAGCATGGTCCAAGTTGTAAATAAAACATAAGGCCTTAATACAAATTATGATAGATACTGAGACCCATTTTTTCCATAAGCCTGTGATGGGTAGGCTGACAAAAGGGGTTGCTCTGATGGTAAGCAACCTCCACTTCCAACCAAGAGGTTGTGAGTTCGAGTCTCCCCAAGAGCAAGGTGGGAAGTTCTTGGAGGGAAGGATGCCGGGGGTCTATTTGGAAACAGCCTCTCTACCCCAGGGTGGGGATAAGGTATGCGTACACACTACCCTCCCCAGACCCCACTAAGTGGGATTATACTGGGTTGTTGTTGTTGTTGTTGTTGTTGTGATGGGTAGGCTCTCTATAAAATAGCTAGTCTCCCTATTAAAGTTATAGCGGTATAAACTGCACATAGAATGTTAGTGTTTTGAATTGTTAAAAGTTTCCATCTTTCTCAGATTGTGGAAATTGGCTAAAGTTTAAACTCCAACCTCAATCCTGTTGCTCCAATGCATTTGATCACTCTGTATGTCTCAATAGTCAATACCATACAAAAGATTGCAACTTTATCACCCAGAAACAAATTTTAAAAAAAAAATACAAAGATTGTATGTTATGATGCACTTGCTGTCCTCTATTGTCTTGACTATCATTTGACATAGATGCCTAGAGGAATAATTAACAAGTATGATAAAACAAAAGCAAACGTAATTAACAAGCTAAATTGATCAGCTCAAGATCCACAAAGAATAACAAAAATAAATTCTCAGAAAGGAAGGAGAAGAAAAAAGGGCAAAGGTGGAACTAAAAGAGTCAAAATTCTGCTGACAGTCAAAGAAAAGAAACTTACCAGAAAACAACCTAGTCGTGGATTGAACGAAATCTCTCGACATATGTTTTAAGCGTCAAATAGCTACTCGGTTGCGCAATACTTCAGCTAATCTATCAAGTTTGTTGCATATGAATTTCCTTATTATCAGTTGCTAGACTAGTTGTTAAAGGTTAATTTGGGCATTTAATTTTCTGTAAAATCCGGCCCAGATTGCAGGGGGGAGATGACAAGGAAAAGGAAAGGCTTGAGTAAGTCGAGAGTATTGGATCTTGGAATGTAATTAATGATGATGATTATGATAACTTCAGACCAAAGATCCTCCCTTTGGCCCTCCAACTCCCACCTTTACTTCTCTTCCCTGTGACTCTTTCTCTCTCTCTACAGAGCAAGTGTTACAATGACGAAAATTCTTAATTCTTGGGTTTCCATGACCTTAGCTGTAGCTGTAACCATTTGCTGTCTCATAGAAGATTAATTATTGCTTCATTCATTCATCGAGTTTATGATTAAGCGCGTGTTTGGCTAAACTTATAAGTTGTTCAAACTGACTTATAAGTATTTTTTGGTTTATTTACGCGTTTAGTAAAATTAAAAGTGCTTATAAGCCAAAAATAAGTCAAAAGTCATAAGTTGGTCTCCCCAACTTATCAAATTTCAGCTTATAAGCACTTTAGGTTTGACCAAAATATTTACTATTTTATCCCTAAAATACTTATTTTTAAAACAAAACTCTTCATATACCCAGTTTTTCAGCTGCTTATTATTAATTTCAACACTTTTATCCAAACACGTAACTGCTTATTCTTAAATCAGTTTCAGCACTTATGTTTTTCAGCAGCTAATGCTTATCACCTACCTTAAATCAGCTAAGCCAAACGGGCTTTAAGTATACTTGTAGTTGTAGCACTGCTGCCAACACATTTAAGTCTAGCCTCATTACTATACTTTCCGTTTTAGAAATTAAATTATGTAGTTGACTTAAGCAACACCATAAAATGATTCCATCACAACACTCTATTTTGCGATTTTTCTAAGAAAAAATAACACTTTCGTATAGTAGTAGTATTATATATTAACTAGTGTATTTGGCCGCAATTTGCGCGGTTATAAAACTATTTTTCACGTGCAAAATTTATAAAATTAGAATATAGTGATAATTCCTTTGAAATTAGTTTTGTCATGGTTGTCATATAACTACTTCAAATAAAAAGTACTTTCACTTTTTAAAATATACTCCCTCTGTTCCATTTTATGTGAATTTATTGTTGTTTGAAAGTTCAATAAATTTATCTTTGAGCACATTTTTAGAAATACTTTATAAATATTATGAGTTATTAACTATTGTGATTTATAGTACTTTAGTTTCTGCATACGAAAATTTTATTTTTAAATTTTTTGAAAATTCTATATCCAAACTCACAATAAAAGTTAGTCAGTTTATCCCTCATACTCCGAAAAGGTTTACATTTTAACTTTTTTTTATAGTTATTAGTACCTTTTATAGTTTTTTCTTATTTTTTAAATAAAACATGAGGTAGTAAAAGAAAAAAGATAAATAAAGTAATTGAAACCTACCATATATGAAACAAACCATATGAAATATTCTTCTCAAATTAAGTTCCAATTTCGGCCGAAAATTCCCTTTCCTTCCCTTTTCTATTTTTTCTATTTCTCTTTCCTTTTCCATTTGTTTGTTCTTATTTTCCTTTGCCTTAATCTCTTCCTAATTTTATGCAAAATTTCCAAAACTACAAAATCAAATAATTTGAATTAATAAAAGCTAATACCAGGATAAAATAATTGGAAGGAAAAAAATATTATTGTTGTAATAGAAAATAACTTGCCTCTAGAGAATTATCCCTTTGGTGATCATATTTATGGTCATGATATAAAAGAAAGAGGAGTTGTATACCTCTGGCTAAGAAACAATTTTGGCTTCTGAGTAGGACTTTGCTCCATAGTTGTTGCAATCATATTTCAGTTGCTGCAACCGGAAAAGTGCAACTGAGAAATATAGTAGAAACGTTGATGACAACCCCAACAACACAAAATCATTGTATTTAAGTGAATCTGCATGAAAAGAAAGATAAAGTAATGTAAATTTTGTTAATTAATTAGAAGTTGTCGACCAAAATAAGTGAGAAAGAGTTTCACCTAATACAACCTTGTTAGCAACTTGTTCCAAACGATCTAGGAGGGAGGTGCCTCTACCAGCGAGATGGCAATATATATGAGAATGGACACCAGATAAATTATGTAACAAATTAAATAAGCAATTATAGTCCGAGGATAAAAGTTTGAAACGATTGAAGAACACGTTGATGAATAGAACATTTAGTAATTAAAGAAGACAATTATAAGAGAAATTTCATAGAGAGATAACGAAAAGGTGGGAATTTAAATGAACAGTTTCTTCTGGGAATGAGGAAGGTCATGAAACAGTTGGAAACGGTCGTGTTTGTATGTTTCGTTTTCAATGTCTTCTCCTTTAATGTATTAGGAACTTGTTTAAATTTTAAACAAAATAAACAGTAAAATTGAAAAAAAAAACAAAAAAATGAGATAATAAATAAATACATTTTATGGACTATGAGAGGTGTCATGTCAGCACTCTTTGTCCCTTTTTTATATATCTATATAAATTCCTCTATCCAAGTTTTTTTGTCCATTACTGACTTGACATACCCATTCAAAAAATAAAAAAAATTACTATATCACCCTTATTTTATTATATGTTAGATTGAAAATAGGTAATAATTAATGAAGGGTAAAATAAGTATAAATTGGTAAATTATCTATTGATTTTTAAACTGGACAAGTAAAAGTGAATATTTATTTTTAATATAGTAGACATGGAGTATATATCTAGCTTTTAGACTTGACAGGTTCTTGCATAATTACGTTTAATAATTGCTTGTGAGGCCAATATATTTTGGAAAATCTGAGTCGGAAGTGTGACATGCATATACTAAATTCTTAGTGAACCAAGAAAGCATGTTCCCTCCGGTCTTATAAAATTTTAGGATGCTCTTTAAAAAAGATATTTAATAATTTTAATAATTAAATTTTAATTTGAATTACTCTTTATATATTTTTAAAAGTCACACTTAATTAATTTCCTTTAATTGAAGCATTATGTTGATATGACGAAAAAACAAATGACTTCTTATTCTTTACAACATCAAATATAAATTAAATCTATTTAGAAGATTAACTAGTAAAATGGACCGTGCTTCGCGCGGTTGGAGTTACAATTTTTTTTCTTATTCTTCAACATTAAAAATAACCAAAAAATAAGTTTTGGCAACTACTAAAATAATTTTAACTTTTCTTACAATAGATATTTTAAGATACAAGTTTATAATTTTAATTAAGATGTTGTTCATAAAGCTTTTCAAAATGAAGTCAAAAATTTAAATCAAATGTAATCTTGTAAAAATAAAAGGTAGCCAGTCATAACAGTGTTATATCTCATACTAAATTTCTTCTTTCACATCAGAAATATATTTCCTAAAATAAAATTCAAAAATATTTTTCTCTAGTTTTTATCATCTAAACATACTAAACTTTAATAAATAATTAGTTTTAGGTGAAATTACCTTTTTCATTATTATATCTTTTTTGCAAAAATATTTATGTAGGTAAACATAATTTTATACACGATTGTATTATTTAATATATATTTGATATGCCTATAAGTTAGAATATAATTGACTTTATGAGATGAAACAATAAAAGAAGAAGAAGAGTACGACAGAGAAAAGTAGAGAGAAGAGAATTCTTATTGATATGGGATGAATTACAATAGAATATAACCTTCTATTTTATAGGGAGAGATTAGCTTAGCCACCAAGCAATAAACCCTAGAATCTCTCTAAATATAGACATTCACCTTAAATAGAATTCTATTTATAACACTCCCCCTTGAATGTCTATTCAACAGATAATGTGCCTCGTTAAAATCTTAACTAAATAAAACCCAATGGGATCTTCTAGATCACTTGCCTCCTTATTATGATCAGTTTGATCATTTGCTCATCTTCTTTATCAAGAAGTTTTATTTGAAACCGATTTGTCTATACGCTTTAAGCGTACTATAGACTTTGTCCTTCTAGGACTTAATATGAGCATTTGCAATGAGAATATAGTTACTTTCTTTGGGTCAGCAAAAGCGTATGGCATGCTTTGGAATATATTGCAAATGAATTATCCTTTTATAAACTTCAAGTTCATATTATCTTATTCGAGGATCTAAATGTACAAATGATAATTCATTCAACGTAACTTTTTCTCAACCGTTTATCATGTCTCCACCTCATGTTAGAAAAACTAACTTGCTTCCTCAATTTTGGGAACCCATCTTTGTGCGTTATGGTCTTAATCAATATATACACCGCACATCAATAATAATAAGATGAAATTATTTGGTTCCTGACCCCGAACCACTTGTGAGGGGAGAATGTAATATACTTTCGTATCTGACCTATATCAAACTGATATAGATAACTTTGTTCTTATCAGCAACAATTTAGCTATTAAGTGGAGGCACTCAATAAATTATTTTGCTAAACTAGCTGTGATATAAACCAACTTATCAAGATGAACTTCTTGAATAGAAAATCTGGAAATTATGCTATTGAGCAAGTTACCTCGCAAAATATCATATTGCGAGTTAATAATAATTGCACATGTAACCATCTCATAAATGCATCTTATGTGGTATACATGGCAAGTGAATGAGCCCATATTCACTTTTGATATTTCCAGCGTTTATGGGATTCAATCCCAATTTTAGTTGGTCTACTAATTAATGAGAACAAGCAACCTAGGAGAATTCGTAAAGAACTTTCTAGTTCTTTAATGTTTATTCATTTGAATTCCGTAAAGAATTCGTAAAGAACTTTCTAGTTCTTTAATGTTTATTCATTTGAATTCCGTAATGTATCAATTATCATACATGAATTTGATCATGGCAAGACATAGAAATTTTACCACTTTGGGTGGTTATAATATCTTTCAAACTCCATTAAAGTTGCAATCAAAATTTATCGTCTTTGCTTGTATTTAATATCAAATTATAGAATGTCAAGAATTTGAAAGAGAAAAGTAAAATACTTACCTCAAATCCAGAATTTAATCAGGAAGGAAGTTTATAGAATAATTGACAATCATTATGCTCAATCCCAAATCTTCTACTCAATTGGTTAGATTCTCGTGCTAATAACGTGAGATGAAATAATAAAAGAAAAAGAAGAGTACGGCAGAGAAAAGTAGAGAGAAGAGAATTCTTATTGATATGTGATGAATTACAATAGAATAGCCTATATTTATAGGGAGAGATTGACTTAGCCACCAAGCAATAAACCCTAGAATCTCTCTAAATATAGACATTCACCTTAAATAGAATTCTATTTATAACACTTTAAAAGATTTCCTTAATTTAAGAACAAAAGAAGGCAAAACGGAAAGCAACAATAAGGAAAGTAATAATACTCC